GATATAGTTGGGCATTCAAATCATCAGCTTATTTACATAAACCTGTGTAGATGCAGGTGAAAAAATCAAACCTCAGTCAACATGACACATGCAGTGAAATGTTAGAGCAAAGTTAGTGTTGTGGTAACAAACAAGCCTGTCACCTTTCAAGATAGTATCGTCATTTTGAACCGTCTGTCTGTCGTCTACTGGATGCTTTTCCTGTGGAGTCATATTTCAGGGCCCTGCTCTGCTGCCATCGGTTCATGCAGAGGTGTATCTCAAATCACCATTTAGTTGACTTTTGGACAGAATCACATTCTTTGGAAACTTAGCTGTCCGTAGTTGATGGCTTCTCATTTGGATTCGAAGTGTTGACCTGTTTTCAGTGAACTTTGAAGTTTGCCTTTTACATATGAGGAATGCAGCAGGAGATTTTCCGGTAAGACACGTTCACAATAATTGTAAAATGTCCAGAATATTCAGGTGAGAGGTGTGGGTAACTTACAGTATGCACTAGGCAGGACATGATGTAGATATTCCACTGTGGAAAGCATAAACCACCATCAATCTCTCAAATGTCATAGTCTTTCAAAGTCCATCTTCGTCTACACCTTCTACGCATATGGCACCTCTTTTTTTTTTCAGATATTTATATTCTTCCAGTTTCGTGTCTGCTTTGTGTTAGAAAACACATCAAACCCCCACAAACATTCTGGAAAATGTCTGGAGCAACTGACTCTGAATATTAATAACTTTATTTTGACCTGCCTAGGAAGTTCAGGATTTCTGCAATAAAATAACTCATCTATAGCTAGTTTTATACTTCATGCGTCCACAAATTTTTGACATTTTGTCATCAGAGGGTATATGTGACAGTGTACCCACCAATTTGGGCACATCTGTACAAGACTGGGCACTAACTGTACATGAGCTCTGCTACACCACAAGCAGAGAGGCTGTGTGAGATGACCGCTGCTGCCTTCACATGGAAAGTGTCCTTCAAAAAGACTCCAAGCGGAGTATAATTCAAACAACTATGGGTCTGGTCCAGAGTATAACTGAGGCCTAACAGGATGTAGTAGATATCATGAGGTCATTAAGCCCTGTGACTGTAAGCTAAAACACAAATCCATTAGGGGACACTCTATCCTGCAGTTTGATCCTGTATCAGATTTTATTAATAACAATCTTTTTAGTCCATTGAACTTGGCTAATGCTCCTTCTTGTATCTCTTCATGGACATGAAGCAGGAAATCGTCTCTTAGATTCTACAACTTTGGCTCAAAAACTCATTGATAAAATTATTATATTATTATTATTATATTATATTATCTGGTGTTAGAGGTGATGTTCTTGATATTCCAGTAGCAACTCTCATTTTCTGCTCCTCGTAACGCAGATGATTACTTGAGTTTCTTGAGGAGGACCTTGGAGTTCCTCAGTGGATTGGACATTCATTGGTGGACTATAGCCAACTGAATCCCACCTGGGGATTTTCTTTGTTCTCTGCTGCACAAGATGAGTAACTAATGACATCTGCTCTCACCTCCCAGAAGTGATGTCTAGCCATACCAGTGAAGTGAGGACATACGCAGACCAATGATGATGGCGTTTTGACCATTGTCATGTAATTTTTGGCACATGTTCGCCTGCCTGCCAATTGTTAATTGGATATGAGGATTTGGTCTAATCACACAGTCCTCCAGGCCTTTATCACGATAAATGTTACATTAGTATTTCTTTCAAGTTTAAACTCTTTGTTTTGAGCAGAGAATGACACTTGACGAACAAATAGTTTTTCAAATCTGAGGTAGATTAATTATGTGTTATACAATCTGAGAGCCCGTCGGCTATCGTCTGATGATGAATTAGCTCTGGGGGCAACGGCCAAAGACTCTGTCTTCCATTTCCTGTACACTATTTGTAGTCCGACTAGTTCCTTTCATCACAGGAATCAAATGTTTCTCCACAAAAAACACAATTAGCGGTATTTCAGATCCAGATACCATTTAGGCTAATCTATATTATATTATATTACAATTTCAAGATCAGGTGTCATCTGTTTGTAACACTGATCTGCACCTTTGTGAGGAACTCATGCATATCTCTGCAGCATGACAAGTCAAGACAAGCTTTTTAACTGTGT